CTTCTTGCTGGTTGGATTACCTGAACATGCTCCTCCTGAAATTTGTTAAATAAACTTCATTTGTTTGAAATATAATTTTTTTCTAACAATGTCAATGTCTTTGCTGTAATTTTTTTTATCAATTTAATGCATCCTTGCCGAATAAAAGTATTTCTTTCTTTCAAAAACTTTTGAATGGTATTCAAAATAAAGCATATGAATTTGTTTATGGTAATAGTCCTCTTTTTTATGCATAACATCTGTAATAAATAAATAATTCTTACAGTATTTTATACAGTAACGCTTTAGGGAGCAATTCTCACTATTAATAACTAGTTACTTATTAGCATGCACATTACTATCATATTGGCTGATTAGTTCTTATAAAGCACATATTAATGTATTATGCTACATGACAGTATTTTAGATCCCTCGATCCTACTCCATATTTAAACTTAACAACTACCTAACTATTAATAAGCAGCAAATTATGAGTTTATTGAGATAAAAGTCACAACAGCAAGTCACAAAAAATCTGCAGTAATCACAACATACAGATCATGTGAAGCATATGAAGCTGAGTTAGCTGCTTGAACAAAACTGCTTCATGCATTCCAGTCTGATTTGTTGAGCTGCATATTGAAAATGAAAGTATACAGTATTTGGTTGGAAAAAGTGCAGTGATTTTTGGTACTTGTTTGCACTTTACTATCAACATGCAGTGACATACTGACTTAGTAAATGATATATCAACATCAGAGACCTCCCATCAATGAAATCCGACCACAAGCGGTCACAGGAGATGCAACTGAGATGCATGTTAATAGCAGCTGTGAAAAGCAAACTCGATTGACTTGTGCAGTATTTTCACCTCCCAATGAAATAAGGGACAGTACAAAATGTACTTTTCATCCGATCGTCTGCTCGTCTGTGCTAAAACAAGAAAGATATTCTGTATTTCTAAAAAATCCACTGACAAATGCACAATCATTTTTATTACAGGATAAAAAGTTCATTAAGGCTCACAGGGCGCTCAACCAAAAGTTTGTGCAGATGAAAGATTGCACAAACACTTCCATTAATTTGTGTCACTTGGGCCTGCCACATGTTTTCTTAATGGATTAAACTGCTGATGACAGTCTAATTTAACATCTGTTTATCACAATAAAGTTTGAGCACTGAGGGGATGAATGAAGTTCTCTAATATATTTTTAAAAAGTCCAAACATAATTATGCCAGTGGGTTAGATCTCAGACTGATTTCTCTAATCTGGGTCTTCATCATCCTGAATGTTTGACTGGAAAAATGTCAAGCCACTAACACAAATACATGCTAGTATTTGTTGCTATATGAAAACTGAGGGACTTAATACTGAACACTAAAGATTGATTATACTAGTGTGCAATATATTTGGCTCTTGATCTTTTTCAGCTCAGTCTCACCTTGAGCAGTGTTCTTAAATGTTTATTTAATACAGTCAAACACTGAACAGCACCTCAGTTGAAAAGGTGGCACAAATGTTTGGTTAAACTTTAGGGGAGCCAACACAGACATATAAATGCAGACAGCTGAGCAAATAAAGACACTAATTAGGCCAAACTGAGATGCCAAACTGCCTGCACAAAAGTAAATTTTGACCTGAAAGCAGTGGTTTAATTTGACTGGAATGATCTAATACCTTTGATTAAAAAAAAAAAAGAAAAAAAAGAAAAAGAAATGATTGGCAGTTTGTTTGTCAATCCATTCCATTTGTGTTCTCCAATGTGGTTTGATCCATGAACACCCAGCATGCATCACTCTGTCATTCACAAAATAAAATTTAACCAAATGCCCATTTGTGATTTACATCTACTAATATGCAATAAAAATAGTGTCGTTTTGGTTCTGTCTTCCTTGTTTCAAAATTTGACTTAATTTCTGTCTGTTTAATTGCTTATTCTAAACACCTGACGCTTAGTTATTTAATTAGTTTCTGTGTATTTAAGCCCTTTTTTTTCTTCTTGTTCTTGTCCAGTATTGTTTGTGCTCTGTCCAGTTTGTTTTGTAGCTTGGCTTCTTTTGTGTTAATAAACTGTTTTCTTTGATCAGTTTTATCATCACTTTTGGACTGAACATTACAGCATATGGTAGTGTATAAACAGTGTACTTTTTTTCCATATTTTTTCCATAAAGTATACAGTATTAAAAAAAAAACACTTCCAACAAGCTGTAGGTAAAAAATGTTTGGGGTGGGTGAGATGATATCTTGTCAAAGGCACCAGTGCCACCACAAAATTTTAGTGTTTTCCCATCTCCAAATTCATAATTTAACCCCTGTTCTCTTTTACAGAAAAAGAGAGAAAGGTTCCAATAATCCTCTATTGTGCAGATGGAGAATGCATTTGGCACAGGTGAAGAGACATACACTTTCCTAGACAGAAGAGAGTGCTTTTGGAAAAACTGACTGGCTGGCTATAGCACAGAGTGTAAATCCAGAAGTGTTGTGACTGACCTGTTGGAGAAAGTGGGAAAAATCCACTTTCTTGAGTGCAGAGCCCAGGCATTGTCTCTTTGCAGACTGGTGCATTAACTCCCAGAAAGCAAAGCTGAGCAACAGTCTGGTGGACTTTTGTCTATCTGATGCTCTATGACCTTTACATTTTAGAGAATGAAGAGTGATGAACACACACACACACACACACTCCCTCATGAGGACAAAAATGTGTATAATGACATGGGTATTACAACATAAACATGGTTTACCAAGGTTTACCATTGTAAAGCAATTGTCTTAAAAAACATAATGTGTTTTTTAAAATTCAGAAAATGTCAGTATTTACTTTGAGGGGTAGGGTTAGCGTTAGAGGATATAAAATAGTTTGTACAGTATACAAAACAATTATTCCTATGGGGAGTCCCCGTAAACCATATATACAAGTGTGTGTGTGTGTGTGTGAAAGAGAGAGAGAGAGAGAGAGAGAGAGAGAGAGAGAGAGAGAGAGTGGGTTAGAGAATGTGTGAGAGAATGGGTTATATGTCTCCTTTTCAAATTATCTTTCAACAGCATTTTCTCCTCATCAAAAACAATGAAAGCCGAATCACTTGAAAAGTCAATTGATTTTGGCTGTAGAGAAATTCTATCCTTGGCAGATGAACCTTAGATGAAATCACAGAGAAAATATGAGGCAGTGCTACCGCACCCACCACAGTGCAATGAGACCATTTTTAGGAGGGAGAAAGAATTGAACTGTCTGCAACACATGCAATATAATAAACACTGTTTTTTTGTCATATTATCAGCTTTAATTACCATGACATAAGTATGAAATCAAAAATTACACACCCAATAACATCAATAATCATGAGCGTATTTTTCTTTTGAACAAAGACACACAAATACAATAACTGTCATATACACATTTCTAATCTCTATAGGAATCACCTCAGGGACTTTACATTGAAAAATAGAATAGATTATTCTAAGCAGCATTTGATGTTTGTTAAACATACAACATACATTTCCATTTTTAAAATATCTACAAGGGCTCTTTACAAAAATACACATTGATCATTGCAGCACAAGGACATTCTAGAGTCTATTCTAAACACACATCATTCAGCTTCCACTTAAACACAATATGTTATACTTCAAAGTCAACTTCTTTAATGTGAAAACAATAGCAAAATAATATTTTGTTTTTTTCTTTTCTTTTCCTTTCTTTAAAAGGACCTTGATTGCTGCTTAAGATTTCTTCCAAAAAGAATTTGTGTGATTCTACAGAAGTAAATTTTAGGGAGATTTGTGAATACACTTAAAAAAAAAAAAAAAAAAAAGT